ACTGGTTCCAAACCTTTTTTTTTTTTTTTTTTTGTAGCCCAGATACCAATTAGAAAGAAGTGTTACCAAGGAGATCTTAAAGAGCAAAATGCATTTTCGAGAGCAGAGCTTTAAAATTTACTATGAGAGTTCAACACAGGTTAAGTGTAAATGAGAATCAGCTGTCTTGGGATTAAATACTACCACACAGTTTTTTTTAGAAGATTAAAAACGGAAGTAAAGCAAGGATTCCAAATGTTGTTTCCAGAGCAGCCCAGCTGCTTTGCAATCTGGACTTGAACCTCTTCCGGTTGGGTCAGCCTGAATCAGCGCTGCCTCCAGGGGCTGAGAGGTGCATGGTATGGTGGAGACTGCTAGATTAAGATTTAACTCAGGTTCTGAATTGAAATTCTGACTTTAGTTCCTGTTAGCTGTTTGATCTCCCTTAAACTACGGACAGTAAGCCCTGCCTTCCTGGAATATTGGGAAGATTAAACAAGCTAGAGGATAAAAAGGCACACTAGAAAATTAGGATATTCTTTACATACAGGTTATCATTGGGAAGTTGTGATCAGATGCTGGATCTTGCACAGGAGCAAAAGCTGTGAAAGCTGAAAGTAAAGATTGAGCTGGAGTTTAATGCAGTCAAATAAAATTTATAGTTAATTGGACACTTTTAATAACGTGAATCAATATTTTACTGCAGGGGTCACCAACTCAAATGCCAACAGAGGGCCAGCCAGGTGAAGCAAATGAAATGAGCCAGGTGGAGGGGGGAGCACAAAATGAGAGGGCTGCATCCAGCCCTGAGGTGGGGGCCAACTTCACCTCCAGCTGCTTGTTGCCCTGCAGTAATGAGGGCCCAATGTTGCCAGGTTTTCTGATTTTTCAAGCTTAAAATCTAGATTTTTATGTGAAACCAGTTAATTTTTACATGCTGTTAGCCAGTTTAAAATTTTTCTTAACATTGGGTAAGCCAAACAAAGCACATATGCGGCTCACCAGTGTAAGGCTCTCTGCTTTACTCTATGGGAATTAAGTGTAAATTGCAAACAGTTCATAAAAGTTATTCTGAGTATTACATTTTGACAGCTGATTATAGTGTTTAAGTTATTCGCTCATCTCCTGGTTTTGTGATATCTGCATATGTGAATCAAGAATAATATTGAGATGAATATGGACAGAAGGAATCCCCCAGAACACAGTGAGAAACTGTGTTCTGTCCAATAGTCCCAACTTCAAGGGCGTGGTAGCTGGCCATGTACCATTTCCCCTTATCTAGCCCACAGACTTCCAGCTTTCCAAGGATTCCATAGAAATGTCATTGAATGCTCTCCTTATGAAGTCACATATGCTAGAGCACATTTTCTCAATCAACCACTTTTTTTTTTTTTGAGTTGGGGTCTTACTCTGTCACCCAGGCTGGAGTATAATGGCACAATCAGGGCTAACATCAGCCTTGACTTCCTGGGCTCGGGAGATCCTTCTGCCCCAGCCTCCCACGTAGCTGGGACTACAGGTGTGTGCCACCACACCTGGCTAATTTTTTAAATTTTTTTTGTAGAGGCAAGGTATTCCTGTTGCCTAGAATGGTCTTGAATTTCTGGACTCAGGTGATCCTCTCACCTTCGCCTCCCAAACTGCTGGGATTACAGATGTAAGCTACCACATCTGGCCCAAACAGCTACTCTTTTAAAGTAAGATATGTAGTTGGATGTCACTTCTTTTTTCTTTTGAAAAATGGCTCACTCTGTCCCCCAGGTGGAGTGTAGCAATGCAATCATAGCTCAGTGTAGCCTCTAACTCCTGGACTTAGGCAATCTGCCTGTTTCAGCTTCCCAGGTAGCTAGGGCTACAGGTGTGCACCATCATGCCCAGCTAAATTTTAATTTTTTTTAGAGACAGTGTCTCACTATGTTGTCCAGGTTGGGCTCAAATTCCAGGCCTCAAGCCATCATTCTGCCTCAACCTCTCAAAGTAGTAGGATTACAGGAATGAGACACTGAGCCCAGCCCTGGGCGCACTTTTTTTTTTTTTTTTTTTGAGTTGGAGCCTCACTCTGTCATCCAGGCTGGAGTGCCTTGGCACACTCATGGCCACCCCAGCGTCAACCTGCTGGGCTGTGGCAACCCTTCCCCCTCAGCCTTCCAAGTAGGTGGAACTATAGGCACGCGACGGTGCCCAGCTAATTTATTTATTTATTTAGTGTAGAGGCGAGGGCTCATCAAGTTGTGCAGGCTGGTCTTGAACCCATGGGCTCAGGCAATCCACTCGCTCTGGCCTCCCAAAGTGCTGGGATTACAGGCTGAGACACCGAACCTGGCCGGACAGCAATTTTGAAAGGAATGGTGCTGAGTTGTTAAGATTCCCACTTCTTAGATTCTGTGCTCATAAATAACCATAGTAACACACTTGTATAGCACGTTTTTTTGCAGAACACCTTCATCTGCATTCTCATTAGGTCCTTACCACAGTCCTGTGAATTAAGTAACTCCTCCAGATTTTTGGCCAGAGTCCTCTTCAAGTTTACAATCTGTGGTTTCCCTTTATCTGTGATGTTTATCCTTGCCTCTCTTTTTTAATTACCACCAGTCCAGCTTCTCAGAGAAGTTGACTTTGTTAGCACAAGCAGCTTGAGTTGGTGAGATTCCAGGTAGTGTGAGGAACATCGCATGCAGACTTGGGTAATTAAAGGATAGCTGGTGAGGGGGTGGGCGTGGCTGTCTCTAGGAGTGATTCTGAAATGCGCTCTCTGCCTCTTAGCCTTTCTGCTTTTTGCTTCCCTTTTGTTCTCTGCCTCTGAGAGCCAGTGCCCTCTGACTGGTTATGCAGAGCCTCCCACAGAAGCACCCCTCCTGCCATAACCATCCTGGCTTCTCCTGGTTCTTTCACCTCCTCATCTGTACCCCTTTCAGCCTTCCATCAGATGACCATTCCCCTCCTGGGGTTATTATACATAATTTTCCTGGCTGCATTGGGTGGGAGGATGGGCAAAAGTATTTGTCAGCAGACTTCTTCATTACCCAGAACCATGTTTTACAAATCCTAAAAATATGTGGGGTACAGCTTTTAGTAAAGAAAGGGAGGGAGGAGGAAGAATAAAGTGCACAGGGACAGTAGATGCTCAGAATTTGCAGATGTAACACTGTCTTGACTCTTGGAGAGCTTTCAGCCATCCCAAAATTTCCTGACAGGTAGTAATTTGTAATCTTGCTAAGACACGGATTTGAATTGCAGCTCGGTTGTAACTCTTCAGTAATTAAAACTTTCTTTGTGAAAGATGGTTCTTTTGAAAAGAGAATCAGCTGCTACTATTCGCGATGTTAGAGAAGAAAAAGAAAAGATGTCTAAAAAAGTGATAGTTCTTAGCCAGAAAAAAGGAGTTTGGAATAAATTAAAGGCTAGAATGATGAATTTTGATGTGCTGGGAGTAAGTCCACCATATACTTCGTAGGGAGGCAAGGAAGTTTATGAGGGTTTAGCAGTTTCTTAAGCCAGGGCAAAATTTGCTTGGGTGAGATAATTTTAGAGAAAGTTAAAAGGGGGGTTAACATGTAGTGGGAGGTGAGACATTTAAAAAAAAATAAGGGGCCAGGCGAGGTGGCTCAAGCCAGCACTTTGGGAGGCCGAGGTGAGAGGACTGCCTGAGCTCAGGGGTTTGAGACCAGCCTGGGCAACTTGGTGAGACCGCGTCTCTACAATACATAAAAAATTAGACGGGCATGGTAGTGCATGCCTGTAGTTCCAGCTACTTGGAAGGCTAAGGGGGAAGGATCGCCTGAGCCCTGCAGGTCGACGCTGGGGTGGCCGTGAGCTCGACACTACACTCCAGCCTGGGCAACAGAATGAGACTCCAACTCAAAAAAATAAAATAAGAGGCCAGGCTCGGTGGCTCAGCCTGTAATCCCAGCCCTTTGGGAGCCCGCGGGTTTGAGACCAGCCTGGGCAACTTGGCAAGACCTCGTCTCTATAATAAATAAAAAATTAGCCGGGCATGGAAGTGCATGCCTGTAGTTCCAGTTACTTGGAAGGCTAAGGCAGAAGGATTGCCGGAGCCCAGCAGTTTGACGCTGAGGTGGCTGTGAGTCTAGCCTGGGCAATGGAGTGAGACTCCAACTCAAAAAAAAGAAAAAGGAAAAACCAGAAGCTTCCACCACCTTTTCTGTATTTATGGGTTAGGGGATTTACGAAGGTGTCTGGATGTACTTATCTGGAATGTCAGGGCTCCGATGCACCCCCGTCATTGGACTTGTTCAGGCAGGTGGTGCGTGGCCAGCTGTCAAGAGTATTGTGGAGGAAATTCCTGTATTTGGTTTCCGGGAGGCCTCATTTGTTGATTTTTAAGTTTCTGGACCTCTTTCTTACCTTCCCTCCCTCCTTCTGTCTTCTTTTGTGTATGTGTGCCTCTTAGCAGCCAGAGACAATCAGCGCTGAACTGAAAGAAGCAGGGTTTATGCTTGGCTGGTCCTTACACCTGAATATGCTGGTGGCTCCCAAGGCCCTGGGCCAAACCTCAAAGCAAAGTGGTTACTTTGCCTTCCTGGCTTTTTAAAAACTTCTTCCTCCCCACCCCCATCCCAAATTGCCACCTAGGCCTGTCTTCCAGCTCTGTGTAACTGTAGCTCGGGCCTACTTTACTTGGGCAGTTTTTTCTGAATGATGGAGTTTAGCAGATGAAAGTAATTTGCGCCTAAGGTGTGAATGAGGTTTGGTCTTTGAATGTTTGCATTTTAAAATCAAATGAGGCTTGGTGATTGCCAAGGGCTGGGAAGACAGGGGAATGGGGAGTTAAGTGTTTAATGAGGACAGAATTTGAGTTTGGGAAGATGAGAAACTTCTGGAGACAGATGGTGGTGATAGTTACAGCACAATATGAATACACCTAATGCCACAGAACTGTAAACTTAAGAATGGTTACGACATAGTGGCTCAAGCCTGTAATCCCAGCACTTGGGGCGGCCAAAACAAGAGGATTGCCTGAGCTCAGGGATTTGAGATCATCCTGGGCAACTTGGTGAGACCTCATCTCACAATAAATAAAAAAAAAAAATTGGCTGGGTGTGGAGGCTTGTGCCTGTAGTTCCAGCTACTTGGAAGACTGAGGCGGAAGGATCGCCTGAGCCCA